CGAGACGTATTTGAGGGTTTCTTTCTACTTTCTTTACTTTCCCAAACAAATCAAAAGGATAAAGCATTTGCCGTTGATCAATCCCTTTTTGGGATGCGGCACGCATTCTACTTCCATTTGTACATTCGTAGTGGCGTTTGAATGCGATGTGGCCTATACAATGACTTGCGGGGGCCAGCCGATGTACAAGTCAGTGTTTTTATCCTCCCAGACAAGTCTGGTACCAATTAACCGACCCCGGAGGGATGGAAGGCTTGGTTGGCCCGGGCGACTCACGACCCAGGATTTGATCCCCGGACCGCTCGCGTGGTAAGCGTGCCACTTGCCACTACACCACTTCCGCCCTTGACAACTGAAGATGGAATTAAATAGGAATGCGGAGGAGAGATCTTCTTGGTCCTACCAGTCATTTTTGGGATCTGATGTGAACCCACAGCAACTGTTATCGTCAACGTCAAGACCCTGCCTCCCGCTTCCTGCAAGGGCTGTCGCGTTAGCTAATGAGCCATCGACTGAGGCAAAAATTTGGAGCGGCAAAGCTCTATCAGGTATTTAGGTTGTGTATAAACAGCCGAGTCATCATTCACATTGCTCCTTGGGCAGTGATTACAATAACGCGAGCTTACATAAAACGTGCACAACAACGCCTGAAGAAAGGCCCTGCGTCATCGAACAGGATTTGAATGAGTTGTCAAGTAGGCCGCCTGCCTCTACTCTTTATGTTTTACTTCTTCGCTAATCTGCCATTGATGTTACCCAGATTGCGCCGAAATACGTCAAAAAACTGAATTTGCAACCGTGACGCGCTATGCCCAACTATTTATTCAAAGACACGAACAAAACTTTCAAACAAATGTTTCTACAGATCAAGTAGGGGTCGAAAGAGGACGTAAGCCAGCAGGAGAGCAGCATTGCAAGGCGATGGCAGGAAAAAAGTGGTATGAAATCCTTGTTCACTTTCTCTCGGACTTGAATGGATCTTCTGGATGGCCGATCATGCTGTAATACAGAGGGTTCAAATATTGCACAATATCATCCACATAAATGTTATGAAGCTGTATAACAGGGTAATTCCAGCACGGGAGAAACATTTTGACACACTGACGACAGCCTGACGCTCGGCCTTACACAGCGCGTGGGACAGTTTGACGCGCATACGCGTCATCATCTTGTCGCCTATGTTCACACATGCGCCCATCTTTCCCAAGGTTTTTTTTCACGCTTAGTTTCCTTTCATTGCTAACAATTTTCATGAAAAATTGTTGAAAGAAGTCCCGTAAATACAAAACTGGATGGAAAAGCATGTGCTTTTATATCTATCAATCACGACTGCGATTTTAAGCAGAAGTCGAGAGCTTGTCCCATCCTGGTGAGGTTACTCAACAACAAGCACTTCATCAGATCTGTGGGAAATGGCAAAAAGCTCCATCCCAAAAACTCACAAATCGTCTGTGAAGAGCCTTTGGCGATTCTTCGTCGATTCAAGCAGTTTAATTTCGTCTTTGCTCAATTTGAAGTCGAACAACTACAAGAAGAAGCTTTAGTAAGAAAGGGTAAGCGTATTGGTAGGCCAACCAACCTGGAAGTTCTCAACTACACGCGCAGGCTTCACAGACTTCGGTATGATTGCCATGTCGCGATCCATCACGTAACGCAACAAAATCTGAACAAGAACAGGTACGGGCTTGAAAAAAGTGTAGCTAAGGCTGAAGCAGACGCGCTACGGTAGAACCCCAGCAGTCTTGCTAGCAACAGGAGACGTCAATTCTTCTATGCAGCCGGA